TTTATGTGGATATGTGCTTCCTGCAGATGTTCTTAAAGTTTAGAACTATTTATGAGACAAAGATGCAGAGCAGAATATGTGTGTGCTCAGTTGCTTAGTCGTGCCCGACCCTTTTGCAACTCCATGGACTGTAGCCTGCCAGGCTCCTCTAATTTTCCAGGCAAGACTACTGGAGTGGGTTGCCATTTCCTTCTCCTGGAGATCTTCCTGACCCAGGGATCAAACCCGCGTCTCCTACATCAGCAGGTGGGTATTTCTTTTTTACCACTGAGCCACCAGGGAATCCCTGCAGAGCAGAAAGGCACACAGTATCTCTCAGTAGTACAGTAAAATCCAGGTTTCTATGTCCTTTGACATAAGGTTATTATGTCTGTAGAAGAATAATCTCCTGTTCTGCCGGCCATAGACATGGTTCCCTGTATCAGTAATAAAGCCTGTGAGTGTCTGAGAAGCTGCCTTCTATTACTAACCCTTATGTGTTTCTCTGGTTCTCAATCACTTTATCTGAATCTGACTCCATTTACTCAAGATTCCTTGTCTGGTTGAAGTACAGCTTTGTTTCTTAGGTCTGACGCCTCTGCCCTTAGACCTCTGGAAACTAACCAGTCACCTGTCTGCTTAGGTTACCGTTGCCTGAGGTCTTTGGCACCAGCCTTCAGCTGCCCCCTCAGCGCACACACTTCGGCTGCAGGTCAGACTGTGGCTGTGTGATGACTGCGCTCGGATGTACCTTCTTTATTGCAAACTTTCAGACTGCATCTGGCCTGTGTCTGGAGTCCCCGCTATGCCATTTGAGGCAGTCCACATCCCAGCGTGTGGCCTGACTTGCTCACTTAATCCTGGGGACCTGAGTGCCCCTGGCTCTTGGAAATCTCCAGGAACAGAAGTGACTCTCTTTTCAACAGTCTTGTTCATAAGTCCAAGTGTTCCTACAAGTAGATGGCACCGGACCTGCTCCTGCCGCTGCCATCTGCTGGTGGCAGACGGAGTTGACACAGTGTCCTGTTCATATTTCGGGGAGGCCTCAAAATTGTCTGTTACATATGTGCGCTCTGTACAATTCTGCACCCGTTCTCTTCCTCTCTACCTGCTTCAGCCACCTCAGCCTTCCCTCTGTTTGTCCACGATGTGCTCCCGTGTCCTCCTTAGGTCTGTGAAGTTTGTCCCCTCTTCTCAGAAAACTGTACTTCCACATATCTTCCGACAGGCAGCAGATGCCTGCCTTGACCACACTCCATCCACTGCAGTCTGCCAGTCAATCACTGTCTTCCTCTATTATTATTATTATTTTTGATAGCATTTGTCATTTACTCAATTTCTTTCATTTATTTATTACTTGTGAATTGATCTCTTCCTCCTGCACACACCCACGTATTAAGTGCCATGAGAACAGGGAACAAAGGTCTTCGAGGGCAGAACAATGCTTGTATTGAGAAAAGAGGTGCTCAAAAAATACATGCTTGTGTAAATGAGTGCATGTAGTATCTCTACTTGCCTGTCGAAATCCTATTTATTTTCAGAAATCCAACTCAAATGCTGTCTCTTTCAAGAACTAGATCTGATAGTCTCTCTCTTTCACAGCACTTTTTATTCTTTATTTCTTGTGTTAAGCTGTCATGTTCCCCTGTAGTGAATACAGGGGCCATACTTGACTTAATACACATCTCAGACTAACATGGGGGCTGGCCCAATGGCTCAGCGGTAAAGAATCCGCCTGCCAATGCAGGATTAAAGCAGAAGCGGCTTTGATCCCTGGGTTGGGAAGATTCCCTTAGTAGGAAGTGGCAACCCACTCCAGTATTCTTGCCTGGAAGATCCCATGGACAGAGGAGCCTGGCGGGCTACAGTCCACAGGGTCGCAAAGAGTTGGACATGATGAGCAACTGAGCATGCACACATGCACACATACACACATACACACAGACTTAAGGACGCAGCAAACGCTTAGATGTTGGTTAACATCATAAATAAATGAAAATTACCATTAAGACTTGACCATTTAATTTGTTTCTTATTATGAAATATTTAAAGCATACAGAAAAGAATCAATAATATTATAAGTAACACCCATGGATCCATTATCAGCTTTGAAAAATTAGCATTGAAAACATATTGGGGGTACTTCCTTAGTTCGATGGTTAAAACTCTGCCTTCCAATACAGGTGGTGGTTAAAACTCTGCCTTCCAATACAGGTTTGATGTCTGGTCAGGGAACTAAGAGGTGTGGCCAAAGGGTAAAAAGTACAATAAAACAAAACAAAACATTGGAAGAATTCCCTCGTGGTTCAGTGGTTAAGACTCTGTAGTTCTATGGCAGGGGGCGTGAGTTTGATCCCTGACTGGGGAACAGGGACCTGAGCTCTTGCATACTGCGCCGCGCATGGAGTGGCCAAGACAAAGCAAACCACATTTGAAATCCATTGTATACGACCCTCTGTGATATTGTGATTTATGAGAAATATATCCAAGTTTATCCACACACGTTTTCTGGCTTACAGCTCCCAAGACCTTCGGAATTTTCCAAGTGAAGAGAGACCTAAAGTTGTCTTTTGTTACGTTAATAAAGTGACTTTTGGAACTCACCTAAGGATGGAGGCTGATTGCCAGGAAAACTAACCTCGTGGTTAGAAGGTTGGAACTTTTAGTCTCACTCCTTGGCCTTGAGAATGAGGAGAAAGGGGCTGGAGACTGAGTTCACGCCTCAGTGGCCAATGATTTAATCAACCATCCCTCTCTAATGAAGTCTCCATAAAACCCCAAAGATGTGGGCGCAGAGAGCTTCCAGGTGGGTAAACAGGTGGAGATCTGGGGAGAGCAGCTCGTCTATGAGAGGGCACGGACGCTTTTCACCCTCTCAGACGCCTCTTCCATCTGGTTGTTCCTTAGATAGCTTTATAACAAACTGGTGATCTGGAAGTTAAATGTCTCTGAGTTCTGTGAGCTGCTTTAGCAAATTAATCAAGCCCAAGCAGGAAGTTATGGGAATCTCTGATTTATAGCCAGTTGGTGAGAAGTACAGGTAACAACCTAATCTTTCTGCTGCATCCTGATTTGAAGGGGGTGGTGGAACCTCCAGTCTTTAACCTATAGATCAGAAGCAAAGATAACAACCCAGGCTTGGGACTGATTTCTGAAGTGGGCGGGTGGCGTGTAGTCTTCAGGACTGAACCCTTATCCTGTGGAATCTGATTCTGTCTTTGGGTAGTTAGTATCAGAACTGAAGTGAACACTGGGTCACTCTGTTGGAATTGCTTATTGATGGTGTAAGACAACTCCCCTCTGCTTACGCCATTTGCATACAATCAAAATTGACTCCAGAAACATAAAAGACTGTCCCTCATTCCTTCCTTCTCCTTTCTTCCCTGAAGCAATCATAATTCAGAATTTGGTGTTTATTGTTCCTACACGTGTGTGATTCTGTGTGCATTTTACCACTACTATTTGTCTGAGCATGAGTGTGCATATGTGAGTACCCATTTTCCACCTATGGTACTATTCGGCTTCCTTTTAAGTAGGGTATGATAAAGGGCATTCTACACCTTATTTGTTCCCTCAGCATTATGTTTTTCTGATTATCCATGCTGATACATGTAGTGTTAGAATCTAGTGGTGAGACTATTTCAGCTATTGTATGGTATTCCTTTTTTAGAACTGTTTCACAGTTTCTCTGTCCAGTATCTTGGTGAAAGGCATGTAGTTTCTCCTTTCACTTTTAAAAACAGTACCGCAGCAACATTCTTGCACCATTTTTTTCCTTCGCATCCTGGGGTGTTACTCCAGGATTTATACAGTTAAGTGGAGCCAACTTGCCAGGGTTTGAATCCTTACATCGCCGCTTGCTGGCTTTCCCAAGAAGCACTGACCACCAACTATCTCCAGCCTTTCTCCTGAGCTTGCTTGCCCTATCTCAGCTGCTGGCAACAAGCCATCAACTTGGCTTAGATCCCTTTAATTCCGGTAGATCCTATTGGAGCCAATTCCCAGATGCCACTGCTTGCTCCTGGAGCCAGACCTCAGCAGGCCTGTGGCTTCACTTGCAATCACTGCTTTGCATTTGTGTACCATTTCTGGTCCATGGAGAGGTTTATTTTCCAGCCTGGAGATGATGTTTAGCTTTTCCTTTTCATATTTTATTTATCATTGCTATGTGTTTGGAGCAGAGGGAGTACATCAAAGCATGAACTTACTGTGTCTCCTTAACCAAAAGTTGATAATAGACTACCTTTACCACCTTTTAAAGTAAGCAGCTATCTTAAAATCATCTAATCATAGATTTTTGGAGCTGGAAGGGATTTTAGAGATTATGATGTTTAATAACCTCATTTTGTAGGTGAGAGAATTGTGGTCTTGAGAAATTAAGTGATTCATTGATGTCATATATTTAATTAATGATGGAGGCAGGACCAGAACCAAAGTCTGGAGGTTCCCTCAATAGTCCTTTTGATACTACGTCATCCATTATAACTTTCTTTATATGAGCTATATTTACATGTAACATTTTATTTTTAACAGAACTCAAAAATACATTAAAATTAAGCAATTAGAAATATGCGTGTCAGATTTTTAAACTGCTGTGAGCTGTTTTCTTTTGAACAATATTGAGGTAAAATCCAGAGTACAGTATTCATTGCATTGAGCTGAATATATTTTCATTAGAAGGCACAATGCCTCTTGACTCTGTAGGTTCCTGCTGCATTTGGTTTCCTTGACTTTCTGCAACTTATTAGGATAGGCCCATCAATAATGGTGCCGATCCTTCCCGCCTCCTCCACCTCTGGGTCTGAAAATGAACTGTGATGGATGGATATGGCCAGCATTTACAGTGATAGCCTATATTTCTGCTGTCACATAGAAATGGCAGGTAGTTTAATTTAGAAGAAAAAATTGCTAAGAAAGAGCAAGTATTCTTTTTAATGAGAATTTCTGGACTTTTGTTGAATGTGCATTTAGAATCTGATGTATTTGTTAAAGCCTTTGGAATTGTTTTATTTTATTTCTAGATCTTTTAGCTGTGCCTAAGCATCCATACGCTGCTATGGAGAACTGGGGACTGAGTATTTTTGTGGAACAAAGGATACTTCTGGATCCCAGTGTGTCGTCTATTTCTTATTTGCTGGATGTCACCATGGTCATTGTTCATGAGATATGTCACCAGGTATGAAGAAAGGATCAGGTGTAAGTATAATTGCAAACTATGGAGAATGTAAACTGATTTCAGATACTTAGATTAGGAGTTCAGTTATTATCCCCCCAATTAGGTTTTGATTCGGTGTAGAGCATCGTGTAGTTCTTCTTGGAAGATATGTCGCTTTTCTCAAATGACAGCAAAATGAAAGCAAGCGCACAGGTTGTATTGAATAAGCAACTGCCATTCAGTTTAGTTGAGGAGTGAGATGACATCACTACCCAGCAAGCCTCTTTGGAGACCCCATCCACTCACTATTCTTTGTCAACCTTGCTTTATTTTCTTGTGATTATTGGTGTGTATATATGGTAAGTGCAGTGATGGCGATGATTTATTGCATTGCTGCAACATGCAGCTGAGTTCTGTGTACATGTCAAAATTTGCTTTTGCTGAAATCAATTTGTTATTCCCCTTCTCCCATCACACAGACACTTAGGAAGTCTTTCACTAACTCAGCCACAGACTCTTTGTTCTGAAATGATTGATATTTTTTTGTCTTGGCATGTTTAGAAATTCATATGTAAATTAGCCAGCTTTGTCGTGAAGCTGAGATAAAGTTAATTTCATGCACTTTACTACAATGAGCGAAAGGTATTACAGAGATTTCACAATGCCTATTTGAATCTTGATTCTAATGAAAAGAATAACTGAAAATAAACGTCTGTGCTTTAATAAAAAGCAATCCTTGTCCTGGTGACCAGAAACTGGATAGTTTTTAAGTGAAAACACCAGAAATCTCAGTGTGAAACCACAAGACTTCAATTTGTTATCAACCCAAAATCTTTTTAAAAAGTTTGAAAACCTTAAAGAGAGGTAGAAAATGTTGTCAGTGAAAGAAGCTGAACAGGTAAATGCTAATACATGAACACAGACTTCATGCTAAATTGTTCCAGGCCACATGACTATTTGCCTAAATGTCAGCCTTCTGCAGTGAGCCTGTGTGGTGTTTGTACCTGCCACGCTGGTCAGCTAGGGCATGTGCTCCTTGCTTCAGTGACTTAAGCGGATCCGTTGTAGAGATAACTAGTGCTTCTCTATTGTGCTAAAAGTGCTTTCCAGCTAATCATACAATTCTTTGACGCAAAAACTGATTCCTTTGTGAACATTCCTAGACATAAGTTACATGTAGAGTTCTTTTGAAATAGGAGCACACTGATCATCATTGTTCCTAGACCTGGATTTCATTTGTTCCAGATTCTCAGCTACTTTCTTGTTCTAGCTTAGTGATGTTCAGCTACTTCCTATGAGGAAACGAACCAGAAGCTGGGAGAAACACATGATAATTTCCACTGTCAGTGCCAAAGTATTTTCTACATTACCATCTCTCCTCACCTACTTCTTGTTGCAGTTTTTAAGATAGACTTTCAATTTAAGAGAGAGGGAGCACTTATTGCTGATCAAGAATAAAAACATCACTTAATTTGTGGTCATCACCATGTTCAGAATTATCTTGTGTTTGTATTTTGATTAGAGATCCTTTTGAGTAAGAGATACTTTATTATTAATATGGAAATGCTCTGCCACCAAGATGTTTAGCTCTTAAAGCCGTAGAACTATGATCTGATACTTGCCTACTGCCTTTTCCTTCTGTTTCTTAAATAACTCACTCCCACTTAGAATCTTCACACTAAGAGTTACTTATAAATGCCTGAAATCCTTTTGCCTAAGGCTTTCACATGGCTCCTTCTTATCATTAAAGTCTGAGCTCAAATGTCATCTGCTCAGAGAGAACCTTTTTGCTTTTACAATCTAAAGCGACCCCTCCCCCATACATATCACGTTTTAATAAGACCTGAAATTCTATTGTTTCTTTGTTTATTCTTTATTTTCTATCTCACCGCATTGTCCCTTCCTCCACAATAAAGTGTCGCTGCCTCAGAAGGGACGTTGTCTGACTTTTCATCATTAAATCCCAAGTGGCACAGTTCCTGGTATATAATGCTTTCTGTTCGTTTTGTTTTTTTTTTCCTGAAAAAAGAATTCCTTTAAGCTTTTTCTGAACTCAGCAAGGATTTCAGAGTAATGCATCATGATCTAATCAAAACACCAATTAAAAATTACAACATTATTTTTCCCGAAGTGATCGTAGAGGTTTTTTTTTTTTTGGGTCCAACACTCATTATCATAGAATCATGGAGAGTCAGGGGTGGAGCATCTTGAAAGCCTTTAGTTCCTTCAATCAGCCGACAACGTCTGTGAACTGTCTCTGCCACTGAAAGGTGCTGCTTCAGGACTTCCGTGGTGAGCTCACGACTTCTTGAGGCAGTACTTTCCATCTCCATCCATTTCAGCCTGTTAGAGGGTCTCCTGCATTTTTAGCAACCTCTGCCAGTTGACAAACCCCAATTTCCATCCATTAGTCCTGATTTGTCTCCTGCAGGGACACAGAACCCAAGCTTCTTCTACATATTAGGTCTTCAAATATTTGAAGACAACTGTTAGCATTTTTTTTTTCTTCTCCTGAGTCCTTTGTTTTCCAGATTAAATATTCATTTTCTGTTCCTTGATCATTTTATTTTTGTTCCCTGAATGCACTTATTAAAAAGTTAGTGTCACTCAAGTAGTCAAATTAATAGTCTTGCTGTAACCTATTTTAAAATCACAAAATCAATTGGAAAATGAATTCCAGTTGTGATCATCATAGTTTAATACACTTGATTCTAGATGAGGTAACTCTGGCTAGATGTGATTGTATCTGACGCCTGTTCATCTGTGATGGCAGTGGTTTGGTGACCTCGTGACCCCCGTGTGGTGGGAAGACGTGTGGCTGAAGGAAGGCTTTGCTCACTACTTTGAGTTCGTTGGTACAGACTACCTCTATCCTGGCTGGAACATGGTAAGTGCATTCTCTTTAATTGCTTGGAACTTTCAGTGAAAGCTTGATTCCATGTCATATTGGGCTTATCTTATCGTGAGATGTGTTTGAAAATGCCAACTGATGCATGAAAAAATTAGCTACCCAACAAAGGAAATGTAACCCAGAATATAAATGGTAGTATTCCAGAAGAATTCTCGTTTAGTTATTAGAACTAAATAGAGTCTGATTGGTTGTACATTGATTTCAAAATACTACAAGTTTTCTAAATAAAAATATTTTAGATTGCAATACTTGATGAAAAAGATTAACTATCCCATAAATTGAGAAGGTAATAGCAATTGATAAGTTATATTTTAAACATGTATAGGATACTTCAACATATAGGAAGGAAAATGAGAACTTAATTTTCAGTGTGATGAACTCAAAACATAGCTAAAATCTTTGATACATTATTGTTTTTACCTTAGGATTAAATGATTTAATATAGTGAAGTCGCTCAGTCATGTCTGACTCTTGAGACCCCATGAACTGTTAGCCCACCAGGCTCCTCTCCATGGGACTTTCCAGGCAAGGATACTGGAGTGGGTTGCCATTTCCTTCTCCAGAGTCTCTTCCCGACCCGGGGATTGAACCCAGGTATCCCGCATTGTAAGCAAGACGCTTTACCGTCTGAGCCACCAGGGAAGTCATTTAATAAGAGGTCATTAATTTTATAAAGAGTTGGCACACATTATATCCAAACGTGTATGTGTGAATCTGAAGTAGGGCTTATTGTACCAGAAGCAGTGATATTCTTGAACATCCTAGAAGAAAAAGTGGAGGGAGGATATGATTTCCATATGTTGTTTAATATAAGTTTTTCATTTTATGGGCTTTCCTGGTGGCTCAGATGGTAAAGTGTCTGCTTGCAATGTGGGAGACCTGGGTTTGATCCCTGGGTTGGGAAGATCCCCTGGAGAAGGAAATGGCTACCCACTCCAGTACTCTTGCCTGGAAAATTCCATGGACAGAGGAGCCTTGTAGGCTATAGTCCATGGGGATGCAAAGAGTCGGACACGACTGAGCGACTTTACTTCACCTCACTTCATTTTATACAAGCTTCCATTAATGAGTGACTATGTTATTAAATAGAACCCAGGGTATAGGTTGTTTTGGAATTTGAATTTTATTTATTTTTAAAATTTATTTTATTATATTTTTGGCTATACTGGGTCTCAGTTGCTGCTCGGGGCTTTTCCCCTGCTGCAGCAAGTGGGGACTACTCTTTAGCTGTGGTGTGAAGGCGTCTCCTGGTGCGGAGCACGGACGCTAGGGTGCATGGGCTTCAGCGGGTGTGGCGCATGCGCTTAGTTGCTCCGAGGCACCTGGGATCCTCCCGGATCAGGGATTGAACCTGTGTCTCCTGCTTTGGCAGTCAGATTTTTTTGCCCCTGAGCCGCCAGGGAAGTCTGGAGCTTGCATTTTAAATTTAAGTGGCACTATGTAAAAGCTGCAAAATACTAACATTTGTCAACTTCCAGAAGCTCAAATTTCACCTGTGTTATAGCTTGAGTGATTTGTTTTACACCACTCGGTTTTTGATGTTTAAACTACAAATATATGTGATTATCTAATTATCTGTCATTATTACAAGTGTGATATGGTGAAATATAAAATTGTCCCTTAAGTCATGATATAACTTTTCTACCATACTCCTACTGAGTATAAAAAGTGACGTTACATATCTCAGAAGAAATGTTGCAATTGTAGTATCATACTGATATGTTTGAATTATCCAGTTTTATTTATATTTTATAAAAGCAACATGGTTCATTTGCACAAATGTGTGAGTTAATTTTACTTGGCCTTATATATCTAGGTATATATGTATAAATAATACAATTTAAAAAATCTTATTTGAACTATTGTACTATAGCATTGAAATTTTAAAAATGCCTTTAAAGAACTTTGAAGAAAAATCATCAATAGCATGCAATATTTATTATTAAAGGTATTTTTAAAACAAATATGCAGTTTTAAAACTGAAATACTAAGGATACTGAAACATTTGTAAAAATATATTTTAGTTTCTAGTTGACTTTCAACCAAATTTGTTTAAAATTTTTATTTAATTTTCATTATGCTGTGATTTATTACTGATTGGTAATTCTGTTATGTTTTAATGTTTAAAATGTTAGTATTATAAATGACATGTTACTCTATAGGTAAGAATTTTTTTTGAGTTCATTGAGCTATCTATGACAAAAATCTATTCAGCATTATAAAAATAAATCTTAGCTTGAAAAGCTATGAACAGAATTATACTCATGGTGAAAACTTACAGCTTTTGATGGTTTTAGCATTGCAGTCTACCCCAAGTTTCAATGTTCCCATACTGAATTTTGTTTTCAAATATTTTTTATATCCCTTCGTTACATTATCAATCAAATTATAAATGGAGAGCATTTTTATAAGAATATTGAAAATGAATATAGAATATAAGTAACACTTCAGATACTTTGTCCTAAATACAGTAAAGACCATGTATTGAAAGCATTTATAAAAAATGCTTTGTGTAGTAAGATATAAATCTGTATTTTATAATAAAAAATGGGAATTAATGATGGATTACACTGAGAAATGAAAGTACAAACTCCATCACAATTAACTAGGCAATAGTGAAAGCAAGCTTTATTATTATATGTCTTCATGTTCAGATGCTAAAGATCACAAATACTTTCTATTATTGGCTGCTTTTGCTTTTTTAGTAGTTTTTAAAATTTAGTTTGTAGAGTACTTCAGTATATTAAATTTATAAAACCTATAAGAAGAGACTCTAAACAAATACTCCTCCACAATCATTAATATCTTCTTTGCAAACAAAAATTTAAGACAAGTCAGTCACATAAATAAGAAAGGATATTAAGTGACTTTAAGGCTGTGTCAGCACTATTTTTCATAATGGCATCAGCAAAAGAGTGAAAGAAATACTAGGAAGAGCAAGAGTGATGGTTGTGTCAGCAGTAACTCATACTGTTGTGATACGCACAAGAGCTTGCCTAGGAGAGCGAGGCTTGGGCTGCACTAGAACTTAGCCTAAATTAGAGAAGTCCGAAGGCAGACGTGTCTCAGAAGTAAAGCAAGCAAGCTGACCTCTTTTGCCTCTAATCTCAAAAACTGTGGTTTTATTATTTTTAGATAGAAACACTCAAACACTGAAATACAACTTCAGCTTGCTAGGGAGATTACTACGACAGCCTATGTTTTACGGAATAGCAATAAAGAAGCCCAGAATTACACAGCATTGTTAAGGAAGCTTTTGTTCTGGTTTAAGGTAGTATACTTACGTGGCCTCTTAGGTTGTGTATATGCATATGTGTGTGTTTATAGACAGTTTCTGCTACAGAAATTATCAGTTGTTTACACTAAGAACACTACATGAAATAAACACTACTATCAAATCTTTTTCCCCAACAAACTAATCAAGTATACCATTTTACAGATATGGGTCTTTACAGGAAGTGTGATATAAGGTCAGGGAATAGATTGACAAGAAGTAATTCAGATTCCAAAAAGGCACTTCACTTCCTGACTCATCTTTATCATTTGAGAAATGGGATGATTGTCTTAGTAAGCACACATGATTTTTGTGAATATAAAATGACTTGCAATTTATTTGAAGTGTGTGAACAAATGTGAGTAGGTATCATAGACCTGGAAAATAATAAATGCTCCATTAAAAGGGGCATTGATTTTATGTATAAAATACCCTAACACTTCCAACCTTAGTAAGCTATTTTGATGCCCTAGATTTTATAGCAATTACCTATAGATTGAGTTGGACCATAAGGAAGCTGAGGACTGAAGAACTGATCCTCTCGGACTGTGGTGCTGGAAAAGACTCTTGAGAGTCCCTTGAACAGCAGGGAGATCAAACCAGTCAATCCTAAAGGAAATCAACTCTGAATATTCTTTGGAAGGACTGATGCTGAAGCTCCAGTACTTTGGCCATGTGATGTGAAGAGCCACTCATTGGAAAAAACCTTGATGCTGGGAAAGATTGATGGCAGCAGAAGGGGGTGACAGAGAATGAGGTGGTTGGGTGGTATCATTGAGTCAATGGACATGAGCTTGAGCAAGCTCAGGAAGATAGTGAAGGACAGGGAAGCCTGGGGTGCTGAAGTCCTTGGGGTCGCAAAGAGTCAAACATGACTTAACAACTGAACAACAACGTGTAAAGGTTACAAAAAATTTTCTGAAAACTTTGTATCTAGACTCAGTCTCTCCAAATCAATGCTTATCTATATTGGCAATGTGGACTATTTTTTAGGTACTTAAGCTTTATATCATGTTTTATTCATCAAACAGAAGTGTCAACGTCACTTAGATTATCTTGTGGGGTTAGATTTCATAGGGTGAGTCGACTTGACGACTTGATGACTATTCTATCAAAGTTTGTTATTAAGGACAATATTATTGGATGAATTAATTTGCATTAAGCTATTGATGGCAGTCATATTAAATCTTACTGTGATTCATCCAAAGGGAGAAAATAAAGGATCCATGCAGCATAGTTACTGTTCAACAATTCTTTATCATTTTAATTTGAAAAAGGTCTATGATAAAAGAGTTTTAATACAGGAAAAGGATAAATAGTAAAATGATACCATGAAGAAATCCTTATTTTGCAGACCTGATGCTGATGTAGGCAAAATCATATTCCCTGTGCGTATTGCACAGGTTTTCGTTATAATTTGTATCTATTTGGTAGGTGTGTCCTGTAGTTTCCTGAATGTAGCCTTGTAAGAATGTGCTTGCTATAATGAGAATTATTAAACATGTGTATACTCTTTTATTAAATAATTTGGGATGCTAAGGAGCTTCACACAGCAGTAACTTTAGACACTGATAAAGTCCAAGGACTGGGAATTCTTAAATTTTTATGAGAGCACATACCTGGGCAGAAAGATAACTATTAATAGAGAATTGTGCAGCTAAACTTAATTATGCTAAGTACTTAGGATATCTCCAAGTATATT